ACACAACTCCAATTCGCACGAAACTTGGACCCATATTCTCCTAATTGAATTCTCTTATTCTCGGTATAGCTTGGGCGGGATTTTCCGCTCGGACGGCTCGTCTCCTCGTTCTCGCCAAGTTGGACCTATTCAACACTAAAACAAGAGACAAACGCGCAAAAATACAAAAACACTATACAATAATAAAAATACACAAAATACGATAAATGGACCGGTCGACACTAAAACGAGCCTAAAAACTATAAAATAAAGCACACAAAACACACGAAAATAAGCACAAAAACACAATAAACAACATGTGTACTGGAAAATTCCTAAGAGTGAGTTAGGAAATTTTTCGAATTATTTGGCTAGTCTGGATTGTTCATTTGTTATTAACGGAACAATATCATATGAACAATTGGTAGATATGATTTACGAAAATGGTGGATTTCGTGATAGTTGGACCATTTCGGATATTACTTTGATGATCAAACAACCGGATGGTTCGTTTATTCCCGCAAGACTGAATACTGATAGTACTCTTTCGTGGATTTACTACTATCCTCCTATGTCCTTTGTGTTTTTGTATATTGTGTTGGAAGCAAACAAACAGGTTACACATGTTGAGGATCCTACGCCATCATATGGTTATGGGGGAATGTTTGCTTGTGAGGGTACGTGGAGTACGCATGCCGGTAATTTTGGTGAAGGGACGAGTAATTTTTGTGAAGGGACGAGTAATTTAGGCGAAGGGACGAGCTTTACCATGAGAGGACCGGACATTGAGGAAGAAATTGTTGGAGATGAAGATTTCAGTCCCGTTGAAGACGATTTAACTGATGAGACCTCGGAAACCGAATCAGATAGATCAATTAATGAGGAAAGGGAACAAGAATTCATTGAAGAACACCCATTTCCAAATGAAGGCCTCCACGTATATCGCGGCGAGATGGGTGAGTGGGACCCGTCGTGTGTAGACAGGGACGAGTATGCCTTACCACTCTGGAATGGGCATGTCGAGACTATCCGTTTGCATACAGTTTTTCGTACCAAGGAAGAAGCTCAGACTGGTATTATGGCATGGAATGTTGAGAATCTTAGGGCGGTCCGGACAAAAGATTCCAACAAGAAGTCGTTCAAAGTTGTATGCAGATCGTCTAAAGGTGTACCATGTATGTGGAAGGCTCGGGTGAGTCTTAATCTACGGGTGCACGACATGTGGGAGGTAACTGAATGGACCGACAGGCATACTTGCATGCAGGTGGTCGAGAGAAATGACCACAAGAATGTGACGGCCACTATGATCTCAAATCTTCTGTTGCCTAAGATTCAGAAGCAGGTGACCTACAGTGTGGAAATGGTACAAGCCGACGTAAAAAGTGCCTGGAGTGTCGATGTGAGCTACAAGAAGGCGTGGCACGGGAGAAAAAAAGCCATCGAACGTCTGTATGGCACGTGTGAATCGAACTTCGCACAACTCCCCCAGTAAGCAAAAATTAATTACCAATGTATTTACGTGTTTGTAACTATATTTATTTATTTATTTATTTATGGGTACCTTTTTATAATTTTCAGGTTTTTTGCTGCGGAAGGGGCGAATCCCGGCACAGTCGTTGAGTGGGAATGGCAGGATGGGGAAATGGCTCATCGTTCTCGAGACAGAGAATTCAAATTTGTCTTCTGGGCGTTCGGGCCCGCCATTCGAACCTTCCATCTTTGCCCGCCGATTATTAGCATCGACGGCACGCACCTGCGAGGTTCGTACAAGGGGAATGTACTTGTTAATTGCAAATGTATTTTCTATTTTCTAACATACAATAGTGTCTGATAAAAAATACATATGTCCAACTGAGCAGGTTCGTACAAGGGTAAGCTGCTTGTTGCCATAGCACAGACCGCGAATAAGCGTCTATTGCCAGTCGCGTATGAGATTGTGGACGAAGAAAGCACGGCTAGCTTGTCCTTTTTCCTAACACATCTGCGCAATCATGTCCTCTCCGATAGGCAGATATGTCTTCTTTCCGACAGGGAGAACGGCATATTGAGTGTCGTTGATTTACTAGAGGCTTGGCACGAACCCCATGCATTTCATCGGATGTGCCTTCGACACCTCCGGAACAACATGGTTTCAAGGTATCGGAGTAAGAAAGTCCGGGTTCTGTGCTGGAGGTTGGGTTCATTGTGTTCTCGTCGCAAATTTGAGCATGCTCGACAGCAACTGCAGGAATGTCACCCGGAAGCATGCAGTTACCATTTCCAAATTCCTTTGAAAAAGTGGACCCTGTACAGAGATAACAGACATCGATGGGGCACTCTGGCAACCAATATGTCAGAGAGTTACAACAACGTCCTCAGAGGTGTTAGGTTTCTGCCCTGCAGAGCATTAGTACAGACGACAATGGACAAACTCTGGATTTGTTCCAACAGGAACAAAAAAAGTCCAGAAGCTGTCGGAGTCAAATTCCTACCCACCTCTATGCCGCCTATCTGGAGTTGGAGAGGACAGCGGCGACTCACGAGGTGGAATGTGTGGACGCCGACGGATCCCAGTACACGGTCATAACTGGTCTACGCGCCAGTGGAAGGGGGCAAAACAAGTATGTATTTTTTTTCCATTGAAATGATTTTTTTTTTTTTTGTGTGTGTTTATTTATATATATAAATAATTGTGGAAAACAGGTTTAAGGTTCATTATGAGCAGAAGAAGTGTACATGTCGGATGTGGCAGACATATCGGAAACCATGTACTCATGCATTAGCCGTGTGTCGTTACCGGGCTGATGAACCGAAGTTGTTGTACGATTCCCACTTTTGGACGACGAACTGGGTTGATCAATTTTCTAATTAGAATTTTTCTCCAATTGGAAATCCTGACACGTGGCCACAGGTGGGATGGAATTTGATTCCGCATTGGCAAAGGATCATCTCGAAGCCTGGACCCGGTCGCGCCCAAACGAGACGCTTTAAAATGCAAATGGATCGTCGGGCGCGCCGCAGAAGGGGTCGGGATCAATGCAGTAGATGTGGTGATCCCGAACATTTCGCGGACCATTGCCGCCGTATTCGCATCCTCATGTGGATCGAACACGACTCCGTGATGATTGGGGGAATTAGTTGTTTTGTATGTATATTGAATGATATGGTTTTGGAATAGTTATTGTAATTTTTATTTGTTAGTGTGAATTTGATTCAATATTTTTT